CCACCTCGTGAGATGGTACTGAGGGGTACAAGGTTGGAGGGGGAGGAGGAAGGTGGTCTATAGGAGCAGTTGGTTGAGGAGGTAACGGGAGGTCATCTAAGGGATCAGGAGGGGGAGGTGGAGGAAGATGGTCTAAAGGATCCCACCTCCATTCTGGTAGCTTAGTTTCTTCTTTTTCTTTTTCTCTGGATATTTTATATAATTTTATTTCCTCTTCCTGTTTGTCCCTTTCTAACCAACATTTAGCATATCTAATCTCTTCATCACAAGGTTCTATTCTGGTATTGACATATCTAATTAATGCTATACATAGCCATCTTTCTTTTGTCCCGTACCAGGGCCAATAAATAGGTCCTTCAGCAATACTCTCTTTAGGCCATATTTCTGTACAGTATCTTATCATTTTTCTCTTATCTAGATCCTTCATTCCCTCATTAGTATCCCAATTTATTAAAAGTTCACCTAAAGGACTACTAGGAGGTATTTTCTTAAAAACATCCTTCCCTTTTCTCTTCCTGCTGGCACTTTTCCCAGCACATTGTCCCATCTTTAACTAGCAATTGGTATCCAAATATAATAATTTCTTTTTTTCCAATAAGGGATATGCATTAGTTACAAATGAGGAAGAGAAAATAAATATTAATTATTGTGAAAAATGTAATAATAATGGTTACTTAAAAAAAAGTTCCTTATCATAAGAGACAAGACACTTTAAATAAATATTTGATGCGGGAAACAAAATAAATATGGCGGCTTTGGTGGGAAACAAAACAAAAAGGTGGCCCAAAGAAATATTTAGTGTGGGAAACAAAATAAATATGGTGGTTTAACAAGGATTTTAGAATAATAATGTTAATTCAAATGAACACTTATACCCTAAGAAGAAATATAACATCTATCGTTTTAGTGGGAAAACTAAACAATAGTGATGGCTATTTCAAGAAATTAAATAACTTACAACCACCTGCTCAACTAAATATAAAATAGATGCAGCAAGCTACTTACTCTACACAAGTGGCCTCTGCACAGCACACTCAACCACGTACAAATTGGCTTCAATGAGCCGCTTACTCAAAATGCCACTTCACACCACACACAAAAATCAAAATGGCCACTTCTCGGCCCACTGTATAGAAAACTCAAAATGGCCGCTTCTCGGCCCACCTCACAGCAAATGCAAAATGACCACTTCTCAGCCCACCTCACAGCAAACTCAAAAATTCCTAAGGAATGGTCGAAGGACTTTTGGCCTGCCCTCACCTCCAAACCTCATTCCTTAGGGGCCGCGACTCTTAACATACAAACAAAAAAAAGAAAAAAATTCTCCCTAACGTGAGCCGGTTCTAACCTCCCCCTCAGCCCTAGTGCCCTAGTGACTGAAAGGGCCCTTCCACAGCCAGTGGCCCACCTCCCCCCCTGTGGGTCACCGTCCCTGTGAAGTATTTTTCAGCCACCCCTACGACCCCCTTTAGCTGGGATCCTAGCTCAGGGTGAGCCTACTTCCCCTCTATGACCCCCTTTCCACTGGGGTCCTGGTTCAAGGGGACCCTACTCCCCTTGGGTTGGGCACCTTCCCCTTCCCCGGCCTCAGAAAATGGGCACTCCCCTACACGGTGAACACTTTATTCAGTGGTCTCCGTATAGGAGTATTTTCTCCCACGCCCAAGGTCCTAGTTCCTCAGAGAGTAGACTCCCCCGGTCTATCCCTGAGGAACAGCCCTCCAGGTGGTTTGAGCTAGTGGTCGGAGCTCTACCCCTCACTGGGCAAGTCCGCCCCACTAACCCCCCTCGGGTACCCCTATGACCCCCCAATGGGATCCTAGTTCAGGGTACCGAGTGTGTCCCCGTCTATGACCCCCCCAATGGGATCCTAGTTCGAGGGGTACAACTCGGGCCAATGGCTCAAACCACCCCTAGGAGCCTCCAATCACTGGAGGAACGGGAGCCTGAGCGGGTAAGGGCGGCTATAGGTGGGTACTCCCCGTCTCCCCTACTCCTGGGGGTCCATAGGGGTACACACACTCCACAACAACACTCACTTCCCTCCGTTACTGGGAGCACTGCACTCGCTTCGGGGGTCTGTACTCACAGCCCCCATCTCATTCACTCACACGCACTTCGCACCCCCTATTGCCTTCAACCCCACTCACATTGCTCTGAGGCAACGTGAGCCCCGCTCCCTCTCAGAGAGCTCTCACCTTTTGGGTCGCTGTGTTCCTTGCAGCCTCAGGTATAGGCGCAAACCCTTCTGCAGTCCGACGTACTCCAGTCTCTGGCAGCCAAAAAAAAAGGTGGCTGGACGCGTCTCCCAGGTCCTGGGCTACCCCGGACTGTTTCGGGGCATGGCCTATCGCGGACGAGCCCCCAAAAAAGATGTTATGGATATGAACGAGGCCAAACTTTCTCCAGAGAATGAGGTTCTCGTTTATTAAAATAGCTACAAGGAACGGAGTGCCCAGGATAAGCCCAGGCACCCACACAGCGAGCCAAAAATGAAAACAGTGCGCTCACCCCAAGTGCACTGGGTTCTCCCAAAAAACAAGTACCCCAAAAAAAGAAGAACCCCGACCCAAATGAACTCCCCACATTTGTAGTCCCCCTCGGGTCCAGGATTGGTGCATTTTGGATCCTCATGATGATTGGTCCATTTCCAGGCTTCTCATTGGTCTTTACCGCCGTTCATTCTGGACCAATCGTTTCTGCAGGGCTTCGAATGATTGGTCAGATGTCTCATCCAATCTCTCTTCGACCTTGCCTTGCCCCATCAGACCCCTGTTTCACCAAACCCTGGACCCTTCTAGCACATTCTAATAAGCCCCTCCCCTTTAACATAACACAAATAATAGAACATAATTAATACAATATAATTGAACTATATCCTGTTTTAAATTAACGTAATTTTTACCTATAACAACCCCACACGTGCATTTGTCTTTGCTCGAGACAGTCTTTCTAGCACCCCTCTCATGTGCACCACCAGAACTTTGTCTCCACCTGCTGTGCACAGGGGTTCGCATTGGGCATGGCCAGCTTGGTTGGTGGAATCTCTGCTATTAGCTAACCATGTAGCCTTTGCTAAATGCAGCTCCCACTGCTTGAGGGTCCCATCCCCCCATTGCCTTCAATGTGTTTTTGAAGAGTTCATTGCACTGCTGACCTTTCCTGGCTGCTGGTGCATGGTGACATTCCCACTGAATGCCATGTTCTCTAGCCCAGGTGTTGATAAGGCTGTCGTTGAGATGAGTCCCTTTGTTGGACTCAGTTCTCTCGCAGGTGCCATGCCTCCAAAGGAGCTGCTTTTCAAGGCCCAGCATGGTGTTCTGGGCAGTGCCATGAGGCACAGGGTAGGTCTCCAACCATCATCCAGTGCTGGCTTCTGCCATTGGGAGCATGTAGCACTTGCCTTGGCGGGTTGGAGGCAGCCTGATGTAGTCAATCTGCCAGGCCTGGCCATACTTCTGTTGGAACCATGGCCCCATACCACAGGGGCTTCACCCGCTCAGCTTGCTTGATGGCAGCTCCCGTCTCACAATCATGGATAACCTGGGAGATGCTGCCCATGCTTACATCCAGCCCTGGCTCTCGTGCCCACCTGGAGGTGGCATCTCTGCGCTGATGGCCTGAGGCACCATGGGCCCATCGAGCTGTGAACAACTGTCCCTTGTGTTGCCAATCCAAACCTATCTGTAACACCTCGTTTTTTGCAGACAGGACAGAGTGGTGGCGTGAGGAGCCCCCGCAGGGCACACTCATTTCTTGCTGAGCAGAAACGAGTTTAACTCACACCCCCAGGAAGGTTTAATCAGACCTCTGTAGTTCTAGAATTTTGAAAAAAAGATCAGTTCAGCTTTGTAGTACATTTGGGTCACAGTAAGGATTCTCAGAAGCGTCTAAAAGCTCCATGTCAGCTGGCGTAGACTGTGTTGTTGAGAGCATAGGGTTGTCCCTGCAGAGAAATACAATGAAGTTTACAGAGCAGAACTGTAGGAGCTCAGGGAGAGTGGGAGGAAGGAGTTCTCTGCCCAAAGTCCTGGCAGGGGCTGGTGGTCAGAGGGGACAGAGGAACAGACTGCTGCCTGCCTCCATCCTCACAGTCCCTCTGGTTACACGGTATGGCCCAAATGGAATGTGGGCTTGTCATTCCTATTCCAGGAGAGGACATGAAAAAAAGAAAACTCAGAACAGAACAAAGAGTGATTTTGCTGGGCTGAAGCAGCAGAGGGAAGATCTTCTGGCTGCTGGTACTGTTCAGTGCTTACCTGGCTGAGAAGAGGCTCCAAGGTGCCAAGCTGCTCCGGGGCAGAACTGGCTGCCTGCAGCAAGCAATTCCCTCCCTGCAAGCAGACCGAACTGCGGGGGAACAGGAGGGAGCTATGATTTGGCCTGGCAGGAGGGAAGGGCTCCTGCAGCCTGTGAGAGATGGGGCTGGTTGTGTAGGTGTCAGGGGGAGTCCTGCTGATCCTGATGTGCTGGAAGTGTCTTGGGAAATGGGGTGCAATTGGAAGGAGAGAGACTGGTGAAGTTCGTGGCTGAGCTTGATCCGCCGCCCGCTACCTCTGGTACATAGCAGTTCATCTGGGAAGGCCTTCCACAAACTAGAGCTAGTAAATATCTGCACGACACAGGCCTCATTCCCTGAGAAATGTCCCTGCTGACCGCCCGTCCAGCTGCCCCGCTGTCGGCTACCCGCAGCCGGTATCACATTCTCTCCGGAGATGGTCACACCGTGTAACAGCCTTTCTTAAGAAAACTCTGCATATTCCTTGCAACACGCCGGCCGGTCACGGCGACCCGCGGCCGCACTCCCCGCGGGGCAGCCCCCAGCCGACCGGCAGAGGAAGCAGCGGATTCCGCTGCCCGCCTTCCCTTTCCCTTTCCTCTTTCGCCGTCCCCCTTCCCCCTTCTCCTTCCGGGCAGCCGCGCAGCCGCAGCCGCGGCGCCGGGGCCGGAGCGCTCCGAGCCGCGCTGGTGCCGAGCCGGGCCCGGGCCCCGCCGGGGCCATGGCGGGCTGCCCGCGCCGGGCGCTGGGCGCGGCGGGGCCGCTGCTGCCGCTGCTCTGCGCGCTGCTCCGCGCCGCCGCCGACACCAGCACCGGCCGGGTAGGTCCGCGAACGGGGCCGGGCGGGGCCGCCGCTGCCACCGGCGTCCCGGGGCCGCGATGTGCGCCGGGTGTCTCGGGGTGGGCCGGAAAGCTGGGCGGGCAGCGGTTCCTCCGCCTCCTCCGCCAGAAGCCTTCCATCATCTCCCGCAGGGCCGGGCTGAGCTCGGGTGTGCGGGCACAGCTCCTCCGGCCGCGCCTCGGCAGGTTGGGACCGGCCGGAGAAGCAGCCGTACTCCTCCTGTGTGATCATAAGCTTCAGTCTCCGGGAGCAGCTTCTCGGGGTGTCCGGGTGGCCATCGTGTGGTGCCCCGTTCCCGCTGCCGCCTCCGAGTGCGGCCGGGAGCTAACGAGGTTATACGCGAGGGCAGCCCCGCTCCGAGCTGTTTTGGTTACTGTGCTCTCGCTGCTCCAGGCGAGCTAATGTTGGTTAGAATGAAGTGTCCCAGCATTGTTGTGCTTGTCAGAGGCCAAGGCAGGGATAGCAGATGGTCTTGGAGCAGTTTTGCAGCTTGGCTTTGTCTGAAGCCATTGGTGATGTCTGAGTTTAGTAGCGTTGTATGTGCCCTTGGTGAACTTGGGCATGCCCGGTCCGTGCTCTCGTGTCGCTTCCCTGCCCCACCCGGAGCACTGCCTCCGGCTCGGGGGCTCCTAACGCAAGACCATTAGGGAGCTGCTGGTGCACGGCCAGAGGAGGCCATGGAGATGTTCCGAGAGCTGGAGCTCCACTGCTCTGAGCCAGGCCGGGAGAGCTGAGGATGTTCACCTGGAGACGAAAAGTCTCTGAGGAGACAGTACAGCCCCTTCCAGTGCCTAGAGGGGCTCCAAGAGAGCTGGAGAGGGACTTTGGACAAGGGTCTGGAGGGACAGACACAGGGACTGGCTTCCTACTGCCAGCAGGCAGGGTTAGATGGGATATTGGGAAGGAACGTGAGGGTGAGGAGGTACAGGGTGCCCAGAGCAGCTGTGGCTGCCCCATCCCTTGAAGTGTCCAAGGCCAGGTTGGACAGGGCTTGAAGCACCCAACAAGACCATCGTGGCAGATGTCCCTGCCTACAGCAGGGGAGTGGAATGAGATGGGCTTCTAGCCCTTCTATGATTCTTTCTCCTGCTTTGGAAGCAGGGCCCTTCCCTCTCCCTAATGGCTTCTGGCATCTCCTTGTTGCCACAAAGAAACAGGGATTGTTCTCCCACTTTTGCTTCTCCTGACTTGAGCCCCTTTCCTGCTCCTGTGTTATGTTAAGGGAGAGCAAGCATCTTCCCTCCCCCTTCCCTGAGCGATCATGCTGTCAGTGGGAGAGCAGGTCAGGCAGATGATTTATCAGTGCTGATGTGGTGAGGACTGTCCTGTGGGTCACATTGATTGGGGAAAAGCTTACAGGATATATGCTGGTCTCATAATAATCCTGGTCTAAGAATTGAATCAACCAGAAGAATGAAGCACTAGGGAGTGTGCACGAAAAGTTATGGAGAAAAGTTAATGAAAACAAGTTTTTATTCTACTACTGCTATTGTTGTTATTGTTACTTAATGTTCTGGTTTCTCCTCATATCAAAGTGAGGGAGGGGACGACAGGAGAGGAAAAAGATCCTGAATAATTGTATGTTTTTGAAAATGTTGTCCTTAGCATTTTGACAAGTTTGATATGCAGTTTTATCTAAGGCTGCATTTTAGGTGGAGGCAGGGAAAAGGGATAGAACTCCTTGAGGAGAGTTGGCTATTTTCCTGTTCTGACAGTTGGCTAGTATTAGCTATTAATTGAGGAAACACCCACCTAATCAGGTTGCTTGATTTTTTTGTGTGTGTTTTAGGTTTTTTGGGGATTTTGTTGCTGTTGTTTGTTTGTTTGTTTGTTTTGGTTCATTTGGGTTTTTTTAGAATTACTCCTGTGTTCGTTTGCAAATGCAAAGGTGAACTTGTGTTTCCAGGGATTTCTCAGGACTGTTAAGCTGTTTTCTTGGAATGATGGTCCACAGACAGCAGTGTGTAGTGGGCTCTTGGGAGCTTGCTGCTGTGGGGACTGAGGAGTCTCATGGTGGCAAGAGGACAGGGTGCACAGGAAGTCCCTGGAACAACAACAAAGCTTCTTGGGCATTTCTGGTGCTCCAAAGATTTAAGTCTGCCCCAATTACTCAGTACAGATGATGCTTATTTTTAAGTGGCAGGTCTACCTGTCCTGTCAGGACAGGTGATATTAAGCTGGGTCTTCAGCCCTTCCTAGGAATCATCTGATATTACCAAACCTAACCAAAAAAAGAGAGATGACTGAATATTTTGGGCTAGTTTGTCACTTTTTCTTTTGAGGAAATGTTCTGAACTGTTATGTTGAAAAATTACTGTGGCATCTTACCATCTGTTTCTTTCTTTTTCAGGGTTGGTTAAAAACTTATGGCTACTTACTTCCATCTGACAGCCAAATGTCTCCCTTGCAGTCAGGAAAAGCTGTGCAGTCTGCAGTTGCCACTATGCAACAGTTTTATGGAATCCCAGTAACAGGAGTTTTGGACCAGACAACTCTTGAGTAAGATTAATATAGGCTACTTTTGTCTTTCTCTTTCTTAATGCACTGTCATATTTCAGTATGAAATATGTATTTCATACTGACAGTATTTTTTGTGAGTGTGAGGAGAAGCTCTTGTTACTGTTGTTCTTTGAGCAGAGATCCCCATTGCTGGTGCACAATCAAAGCGTGAATCCTGTGAGCTTTTGAAAGTGGAAGACATCAAGGTTTTAATTTACTTCCATCTCTGTCTGAATTTAGGTTAAAATTCTGGCTCCAGAAATGGCTTCTAATCTATTTCCTAATTAATGTATTTGTGCATCTCCATAGATGTTATTTGTGGAGATCCATAATTTGAACTGAAGTGAGTTATTGTAGTATGATGATGGTAGTCAAGGCTGCTTAGCTGCCCACAGTTGCCATTTGTTGGACATTAGATGTTCTCTGCTGGATGTTGGCCATGCGTCGTTGTTGGTGGTCAGGGTTTTGATAGCTCAGATGCATTGGTGTAAATTGCCAGGGCTGGAGGGACTTTGTTTTTTCATCTTCTCTTGAATGTGGGCTCCAAAGGGTGGTGTGGAAGTGGCTCCTTGTCTGGCTGCCGGGTGTTGTGTAGCGGCTGGATCCATCTGCTGTTGGTCTGGGGAGCATCTGCTAACTACAGCAGAATGCAGAGAAGGTCTTACTGAGGCTGTCTGGGGAAAAAAGCATCTCATGGTGAGCAAAAAGAGAAAGTCTGATGGAACTTGCTTGGGCCCTGCCTTGCTACATTAGGAGACCCTTTCAGAGCATGCTCTGCCTGGTTCTTCATCTCTCCTCAGTGGGCGTCCTGCTGGCAAAAGGGGTGTGGTAGCCCAAAAGAAAGGGCCATAAAGTTACCAAATTAAAAGTAACCAAAGTAAAGAACAAAGTGGCTTGGTTTTATGCCTTCCAGACTGCAAGAAGAGGGAGAAAGAGAAGAAATCAGTGAGTTGGGCAGGAGGGGATCATCCTGGGCTGGGACTACCTCTCCAGTGAATGTAGCATTCTCTCCTTTAGCTCACAGGAAAAGCCCCTTGTTCTCCACTGAGGAGCAGAGAGAATCCTGTATGCTTTTCAAATGACTTGAAAACAAAGTGCTTTTTAAAGGTGGGGATTTTCCTCTGAGATCTCTTTGCTATTTATAACATGGTTTGTAGGTGAATGCTGAAGCAGAGCCATCGAGCAATGCTCTGTGTGTGCAGTTGGTGTGTAGAAGCTTGGATTTGGGATGCTGATGATTTGGAAAGGGATGGGGAAAGAAGGGACTGTGATACTGGGGTACTAGTTTGGAAAGTTAAGGAGCTGCTTCTGCTGCCTTGTGGGTGATAGGGGAAGGGTGCAAACTGCGAGTGGGAGTCCCTGCTTTAATGAGTAAAAGTTTTTCTGAAAGAAAGGAAGGTATTGCCCACATTTTAAGACTTTGTATTTATGGGCAGGGCTTGATCAGTGCATGAACACCCAAAGGCTGATGAGTGGAAAACCCAGATGGTTCCCTCTTCTGAAACTCAAGTCTCGAAAACTTGAGACCTCAGCTCCTGCCAAACACTGGTGTGCTTTGGAGGCATGTTGGGTTGCTCTGCCTCCATCTGTCCTGAGTCAGTGGGTCCATATGTTGTATGGCAGGGTGGAATTTGCCTAGAATTTGGATGAAGGGGAAAAGAGGTCCAGATTGCTGTTAGCAGTGAGCCTGTCGTTTGAGCTGGAGGGGCATCTGCCTGGGCTGTGTTGGGCTGTCACTTCCTCAGACCTGGCTGTGGAAGCTGAGCAGGAGGAAGAGAGCTGGCAAGGCAGCCTGCCTCCAAGGGCTCTGAATTACTCAAGCATTCACTGAGCCATTGTTTCAGTCTGTGTTAGGAGTTTTGAGATTCCAATTAGGAATTTTTCTGTCACTTCTGTCAGTGTCATAAGTTCTGTCTCTTTAAAGTGACTTTAAGAATCAGAGTTATTTACACTTAGTATGGAAGCCTAAAGTTTCTTATCTCCTTTCACACATGCCCTCAAATCTGGAGCTTGTTTTTTCCTCCAAGATTGGTACCCAAGCATGTGGAAGCCACCATGCAGGTGCTGCTAGTGGGAGATGAAAAGGAGCATCACCACAGGTGATGCTTTTTAGTACCCAAAAGGAAGTTTGAGTGGGGGTCCATTCAGCAGAAGATAAGTAGTTTCCTGTAAAGAGAGCAGGGAGAACGCATAAAACAGCTTCCCCAGACCCTGCAACTGATGATGCCTCAGCAAATCTTGTGTCTGCCTGCAGCTGGTGGGCTGAACTGTGTTTTTGTGAGCAGCTGGGCAAGGAAATAATCCTGGAGCATGCTGGAGAGAAGGCACAATAGTGCTGAACAAAAGTGGTGATTTGTCTCTGTCATGGTCAATCACATGGCCTTAGAAGGAACCAAGAAATGATCTTACTTCTGTTGGAAGCATCTTGTGCTTTGTCTGGAGCCTGTTGTGCAGGTCTGTCACCTTGGGGTGCACCACAGCTGTTTAAAGATACCACTCCCACCAGCTCAAGAGTAGGGGATTGAGAGTGACAGCTCCTTCTCTTTAGGAGAGTCTTGTGAAAGACTTGGAGCCTGAGCTGGGGAGAGCAGCTGTATCTGGACAAGAACTGGATGTCACTGCTTTTGGAAATTGCTTGTTTCCTGATGCCAAGCAGCTGGAGGAATGCAGTAGTCTGTGCCTCAAGAGTGCCAAGTATAAATTTTGATGATCCAGTGTTAGTGGTGTTCCCATTTAAAAAAATAAAGAGGGATTCATAAGTAACCATATTCAGATAACCATAAGTATCTGAATCTTGCTTCAAGTAATTGTCTTTTGTTGTTTCTGATGTGATGATTTCCCCTGGAAATAGAGTGGGGTATCCAAACTGCTCAGTAGAGAATGACTATCATAAAGCTCAGCTACAGATGATTAGCAGCAGCAGCTACAGCTTTGTGGATATTTTGCCACAGACCTGCTCTGCTGAGAGGAGGAGAGATGGCTGCATTTGTACCATGTGATGAGAGCAGGCCCCATATGTCTGGGAAGTAAGTTGAAGCAGGGAACTGATCCAGATAAACATTCTCAGCTTGACATTAGCTCAGGCTGACGACAGCTCGGGTGCTGCTGAGCTCCAACCAGGTAGCTGAGCTCTGTTCCTTGGCTTCACACAGGCAGTATCTGAGCTCTGGAACAAACTGTGGGGGAATATGGGGGTTCAGACAGGCCTAAGTTAAATGGGGTATTTATATAGTTTAAATGAGGAGTTAGGGGCCATGGGCAGCATGAGTCTCAGCAGCTCTGCCTTGGACGCTTTGACTCAAGAAGTCCTTGAAGGCCCAGGGTTTGGTATTGCAGCTTCCTCTGGAGCAGCCCCATGCTCCTGTGCCTGTACCTGGAGCTGGCAGACAGGCAGGGAATTTGGCTGTTGGAGGGCATTCACTTTCTGTGGGGTCTCTGTGCAGTTCTGGCTTTGATAACAATGGGCTGAGCTGTGTGGGGGTGAATTCATGTGGCCATCTGGGCACAGGGCAAGTGTTGGGAGCTTGGCAAGGTGTTCTTACAGGACACAGATGCTGAGGTGTGAGGTCCTGCTGGTGTGTCAGCACAGCCCTGGACAGCCCCAGTGACTTCTCTACATGTGCAGGCTGGTTTGGTAGTACTGCTGTGTTAATTCTTTATCTTCCAGATGATACTGGTAAGTATAAAACAGAAAGTCATTTTCTGACTGTAGTCAGGGCCTGATGATGGTGGTGTTCAGGCTACTGGAGTTCCCATGAAGCTCAAGCGGTGAAAACCTGATTGAGACTATGGCTTGTGTAAGGTTATGATGAAAACATTGTATCATAACATATGAGTGGAACTGAAAAAGACCCTGACAACTCAGGAGGTAATCTGGGAGAATACAGGTGACAGAAAGCTTGAGGTCTCTTTAGGAAAGTGCTAGAAGCAATGCAAAAGAGCACAAATAAAGGACACTTGGAAAAACACAGTGTGTTCAGGTTGAATTGATATTTCTAAAAGCAAATCTTAGATGTACTGATTTTATTTGAAGGTGGCAGCAGTTGTGTGGGCAAGACAGATCCAATTTCCACAGGTTGCCTGGATTTCTGAAAGATATACAGTGCTGATAAATGTGAGGTGATGTAAGTGGGGAAGATCTGTGCTGGCTTTATATACACAGCTTGGGTTCTTGTCAGGTACAGTGCAATGTGTATAACAGCTCCCATTTGCTCTGTTCTTGGTGGGGAGACGATGACAGATGACTGCATTGAAATTTATAAGCAACCAGAATTACATACAGGAAGTGGAAGCAGGAAAGGGCTGCATGGCTGCCTGAATAGGGAGCAGGTGTGTGTGTTCTGAAAGAATTTTCTGCTGAGGCACAGTGTCTGTGTGTCTGGTTGGTTTTAATTTAAAAGGTGTCCAAAAGTCTTGTAAACCATCTACTGGTGATGGGAGACTCTCCCTTCCTGAAGGTCTGGGGTTAATATTTTTTGGTGAATAAGATGTACATTGTTTAGGCACAAGTGTGGACTGCTTGCCATTGGCTGGCTGCAGTTGATGGAGGAGTGTCTGTATTTGGAGGCCAAAAATTGTCCCCTGGATAACCAAGGATGTGGGAGAAACCTTATTGAGGAGGGGGGAGAGAATTTGGTGTCCTGTGAGAAATGGGCCAGCACCGGCTAGAATGCTTTTCAGTGGCATGTCCTGCAAAGTGTTCTTAAGAGCTTTGTGTCACTTGTCTTTGCCATCCGAGTGAGTGGATCAAATGCATGAAATGCCTGAAGAAGTCCAGTGGCTGAGGCAGTGCCAGTCTGCTTAAGGGGAGGCTCTGGCCAGAGATTGCTTGTGTTGTTCCTGGGCTCTGCTCTCCTGGGATGCACTGCAGAGTCTCAGAGGATGTGACTGGGCACTGTGGAGACTAGTACCTGCAGTTCCTCAGCCTCTGCCCTTGTCTCCTTCTTCCCCAGCTGCCACATGCAGTGATGGGCAGATTTGTTCCTCCATAAGCCACTTCTGGCTTCTCTGGAGTGTATCCGCATGAACAAGTGTAATTTGAGGAACAGTCTATTTCTCCTTGATTTTGTCAGAGAATCATTGAAGGAGTGTCTTGAGTTCATCTACTCTGACCCTCTGCTAAAACTGGGACGTCTAGAGCAGGCTGCCCAGGACCATCTCCAGTTGGGTCATGAATATCCTCACGGATGGAGATTCTGCCACTTCTCTGGGCAACCTCTGCGAGTGTTTGACCACCCCCAAGCTGCTGTAAGAAAGAAACAAAAGATCTGTCAAGGGCTGGAGGTAAAGGAGGTAGGGAAGGAGAGTGGACTTCTGTGATAATACTGCCTGGATCCCTGTGCAAGGGACTTTGCTCTTGGCAGTAGAGATTAGAGTTTTCTGCATCATGAGTGACATCAAGAGTCAGGGATTATGGGGAGAACCTAATGGAATTTGGTGTGTGTGATCCAGAGACTGGAGGGATCTGTTCTGGTCATTCCAGGTGAAAGCCTTAGTTATTATCTGGGAGGGCCGTGTTTGCACTTGTTCAGTTTTACCTAGTGAGGTATGAACTGGATTTTTTTTCGGTGGCACAGGACGCTTTACCAAATGGAGAGTGGATCCAGTGGGTGATGGGTGAGTTTGATCCCAGGGGACACCCACCTGCGATTTTGATTTGGGTCTCTTGTGGCATTATCGTGATTGAGCTCTTGTTGAACATAGGGACTGCCTGATCTGGGCTCTGTGTTTCCACAAGGAAAAGTGAAGTGGTTTTGGTGTGTGGATTGCCAGCAGAGGTGGGTAGCACAGCCCTGTGCAGAGGACAAACCTGACAAAGGGAGGACTGAACCCTTCTTGCTGTCAGCACTGGCCATCTCTCAGAGGTCACCCCCTGAGTTGTTTGGAATCTCATTTCCAAACTCTTAGTGTAGCTTGTTGTTTTGTTCCCTTTACTTGCAGGTGGATGAAAAAGCCTCGATGCGGAGTTCCGGACCATCCCCACCTGCGTCGCAGCCGGAGGAAAAAGCGGTACGCGCTCACCGGCCAGAAGTGGAGACAGAAGCACATAACCTACAGGTACAGCCCCCTCCCTTCCCCTTCTGGATGGGGAAAAAATGGTCTGGACTGGTTTGGCATGCAGAGTTTGTAAGTACTTTTGAATTGAAGCTGGATCCTCCCTGTAATGTCTAGTCTGGGCTTTGGTTCTCAGAATGTGATGGGGGACAATACTGTCAGAGCACTGGAGTAACTGAAGAGTGTTATCAAGTCTGTTATTATTTATTAGAAAATAACTGATCAGTAAAGGCACCTGAATTGCAGCCATCAGTTGTGTCATTTTGGTAGAAAAATCTTAGTAAAAGGCCCTTTTTCTTCTATTAGAAATCTAAAGCTCTAGCCTTTAGATCATGTGTCACCTTTAACAAACCATTAAAGCAAAAGGAACATCACTGTTTGGGGATGAGATGCTTTCTCCTTCTATTGGTTTGCAACATTTATTTTTGCAGAGGTTTTATTTTTGCTCCTGTAGTAGAACTCTTGCTTTTATCCAGACTTAGGCCAGCTGAGGTTAGGCCAGCTGGGGTGAGCTACAGTGTCAGGGGAGTGTTGCAGAGGGGCAGTTGTTTCCCAGAGGGGTGTTCTGAGTCAGTCAGGCTGTGAGCTTTTGGAAGGCAGTTGCTCAAAAATGGTCAGTGGAGGTTCCTGGCAATAGGAATGTCACTTCAAATTAAAACTAACCCACCCTCTAGTTGAAATTGCAGCCTTTTATATTGTTTGGAGGGGAGAAAGGAGATTGCAAAGGAGTGAAAATTAGAGATGTAGTCATTAAGGAGAAGATCTGGGTAAGACTAAGACAGAAAGAAGGTGTGTAGTGAAGAGGTAGAAATGTGAGTGACCAGCACAGGAAAAGTACCAGAATGTGTAGGAAAGAACATGATGGTGTGAAGGGAAAGAGGATCAGGGCCTGGGGCCCTCTGTCTCTTCTGCCAAGAATTCTGAGAAAGGAGGAGGATGCTTCAAGTTACAGTGAGGGGCTACAGAGACTGGGAGGAAGGACTAGTTCTGGGCACTAGTTCAAAGCTTCCATCAATAATAATTGCTTTAACTCAAATTGTAAAGGGACGCCTTCTGTATGCAAAGGTCTGAGAATCAGATCCTTCTTCTAACCTTTTTCTGGACCATAGGGGAAAGTGGTATGGAGTCATATAAATAAAATAAGTCTTAAGCATATGCATAAGCAAGAGAAGCAGCTTGGCAGATGACTGCACTGCTGCCCTTGTCAAACCAGTAGTTGTTTGGCTTTCCAATTTCAGTATTTGTTGTGTGCATTCAAGTGATGGGTGTCTGGATTCACCACTGAATGTGTTACCGTGTGTTTATATTAAATTGAGCCAGCTTCATTAAAGACTGAAAATTGTTCCCATGGCATAGATACTTTATATTCCCCAAGTCAAGTTTAATAGATCATGAGGCTATTATGTGCACATGCACAAAGCATCTCATGAACAGTATTTTTAACATAAGGTTTAGAATTATGGGACATTTAGGTGCAGTTAAATGCCCCTTACTCTCCCCAAACTCTGTATCTTTAGCTCTCATGGACTTGAGCTGCACAAAACTGGCAGATCCATCACCCTTATGACCTCTAGAATATTTTAAGTAGTTTGGAGAATGAAGCAGGTCATATAAGTAAGGTTGTGTAGTTTGCTGCAAGTTTGTTTCTCAAAATGAATTTTAGTGATCCGTTTTTTTCATGTAGTAGATTCCGTCTTAGCATAACTTCAGACAAAATCTGAAGTAACTTACATTTTAAAAAAAGTTACTCAGCTGTCTACACCCAGATTTGAAAGGTTTTTAGGAAGCGATCCAAAATCAACCAAAGCATTATGAAGGTTCTTGTTAATAAATGTAGAATTCAGATCAGGGTGGTAGTTCTGTTGGTAACTTTCTTTGTAACAGCCAAACTTTGCATGCACAGACTAAAAAAACTTCCTGTGGGAAGTTGAAACTGTGTGGTTATGTATTGATAAGTCTCAAATGAGTTCTGCAAATTGAAACATCCCTTCTTTCTCATTCCCACAGTGTACACAACTACACCCCCAAGGTTGGCGAGATCGATACCAGGAGAGCCATTCGTCAGGCCTTTGATGTTTGGCAGAGAGTGACACCACTTACCTTTGAAGAGGTCCCTTACCATGAAATTAAAAATGACAGAAAGGAGGCAGATATTATGATCTTTTTTGCTTCTGGTTTCCATGGAGACAGTTCTCCGTTTGATGGAGAAGGTGGATTCCTGGCTCATGCTTACTTTCCTGGACCAGGAATTGGAGGAGACACTCACTTTGACTCAGATGAGCCATGGACCCTGGGAAATTCTAACCATGATGGTAAGAGTGCAGGTCATCTTTCCCAGCAAGGATAAGTTGGATGCAGACACACTGACAGGCTTTCAACTAGAAAGTATTTGCTTGGTGGAGCTTTCACCTCCCATACATTGGTTCAGGTGCTTTCTAAATACATATTCTATCTTAAGTGGGAAAACGATAGTATTTATTTGTTTGTGGCTGTGCATGGTGTGAATTTTAGGAGTGAAGAGAAGAGTGTGTCTGCTGGCTTCTTACATCTCTCAAGATTTGAGCCTTAATTGCTACAAAGACCACAGCTCTGGGAGGGAAAAGATGAATAAAATGGTGTTGAAATTGTATCAAATGGAATACTTTCCAAGGGCAAATAAAGTTAGTTGTAAAGGTGAATAGAAAGTTGAGAGTGAAGACATTTTGAATTGCCAATTTGTTTTGATCCATATTTGTTTTCTCACACTCTGGAATTCCTTATTCTGTCACAGTTTGGGGCTGGCTGATCAGTTAAGGGAGGCTGGTGATTGGGACAACTCTTTTTATCTTATTAAGCATGAAGAGTTTCTGCATCTTTCTAGCTTTATCTTACTCTCTAAAGGCAATGAGCTCTTTCTGTTCTATTTTCAAACCTTTGATTGAGGGTAGTGATGTCTTGTAAAAAGTTTAGGCTGATAATCAGAATTTCACAGTGGCCTCACCAAATATCTCTCCAATTTCCACAGTCCTAATGGTTTGGGAAGAACGAGGTGTCTTTAAGCCTTTGGGGATTCAAAATCATGTTTTAAATTTTGATAAGGACTAAAAGTTTACTTGGACTGTAAATATGTCTTGATTTTTGAACTATATAAAAGCAGCAGTATTGTGCCCATGATGCCTAAGGACATAGGCAGAGGTGATGTCTTTCTTTAGACCAAAAAGTGTTGTTTTACAATAAAAAGCTTCCAGGCACTCAAGCCACCTTCAGGCCTGGCTTAAAAGTGACAGCTTGCTTTCAGACTGGGTTGCAAATGGGGAAAGTCCCTCAGAGTTGAGAGTTGGTGTCAGATCATCTCTGCCAGGAAATGGAGCTGTCAGGTTCAGCGCGGGAGTGCTGATTTGTGGGAAAGCAGAGATGAGACAATACTTGTCTTTGTAGGGAAAGAGGAGCAATGTTTCCTGGCATGTGCAAATGACTGCAGGAGGTGTAGGCTGAGAAAGGGAGGTGGGGTGTGGTGAGGGGGAGGGTGTGGAGACTGTGGGAAATTATAATGTGGCTGAGAAAAGCTGTGTTTTGCTGTCTTGGAATGTTAGCAAGTTTTATTCCTAGGTTTGTGGCTGGAGGGCTCCCTCCAGGATCAGGAGTGACAGACGGGCAGAGACTGAGTGGTTTCTGTGTGAGAGCTGCAGCAGTGAGGTGTGTTTGTGTGTGCCAGTGCTCTGTGCCACTCCAGTCTGGTCTCAGCAGTTATTTGAGCTCCGCTGTGGCAGCGTGGGAGCCCCAGGTATTGGATATGACTTCCCAGGAAAGCTCCTGTATGAGACCTGGGGGTGGTGGTGTCTGGGGTAGAAGGTCCTTGCAGGAAGGTGGAAGGGAAGGTTTTGACAAGTTGTTCTTGCTTTTTTCTGTTCTCATTTTCTGCACAAAATGCTTCCTTCTGAGATAAGCTTAGGAAGGTTGGCTGCCAGCTTAAAGGCTGGCAGGGATGGCTCTGCAGAAAATATTCCATCCCTTGGTAGGATGTTCCACCATAGGTGGTCACTTCTTTGAGGATTTTTTTGATGCAGTTTTTAGGATGGTGTTTGAGTGCAATGCATACAATGAGTAGAGTGTCTCTCTTTTTATAAAAGCTTTTTAATGCTATTCTTATCCATGTGGCTCTTTTAAAAACATGCTGTATTTCTCTGCTTCTGAGTGACTGTCGTGAGTGGTGTCCTCAAAGTTCACGAATTGGTATTTGATGGGCTGGTGTGCTCTTTGTGTAAGAATTGATGGAGGAATTGAGATTTCCTTTTCAGAGGATGTCACCTGTGCATTTACTGTGCTGCACAGACTGGGCTGCACAGGCTCTTTTCAGAAGTCACCAGTGAGGAAGCTGAGAATAGTGGGGTTGTATTTGACCCTTCCATCTGTGGGAAGTATTGGTGGTAGAAGGAGATTTGAGGTTTTGAAGGTGACAGGGGTAAGGCTGTAGTCAGAGCATTATAGACATGTTGTTTTTGGTTTTGCCTGCATCCTTATTTTTGGTGTGCAATTGAGAAGGTGTCCTGCTTCCTCCCTGGGTGATGCAGGCCTCTTTAGGGAGGAGTTTCCTTCTGTTTCACTATTCCTTGTCACTGGAGCACTCACTAGCTTCAGGTTCTCACCTCTGATGTGTTCTATTTGAAATGCTTTTAGGAAGGCTTTGAAGAGTTTCTTCCTGGTCAGAGGTTTCTTGCTCAGTTCACTGCCAGTTTTCATTGAAAATAATTTATTAGAGGGGACAATATAATCTGTTTAACAGGAAGTGTTTCTTCAAATATGATCTTGCTTGTCCTTAAGATATGTATTTTCTGGCAACGGGGTTGATCAGGCTGGAATTGAAGAAGCCTCAGTAAAAGAACAAAAGAAGCCCTACCAAAAATCATTAGCAAAGCTCTCATTTATTCACATGAATAAATGTAGCAAAAAAGGAACTGGCTTGGCCATTCAGTATCTGTTCAATGATTATAAGAGTCTTGAAGTAAGATTGAAGTAACAGTGGTATCTTTTCATCAACCCACAAAATACCACAGTGTAAAATGTTCACTCCTGACAAGAATGTGTCTTAGTTGAAGGGAAAAGTTGAGCCATCTACCTTAGAGCTCTCTTAGCTTTGCAGTTGTGAAGGTAAATCTCCTGTCAGCAGAGCAGAATGCTGGAACTGCTGCCATAGATCCTTAGAACATTTTGCTGACCTTTCACTCGTATAGTTTTATTACAATTATTCCAGTCTGAATCCTTGCTTTTGTGGGTCTGCTCTGTTTCACTGTATTGTGGCACCTGCAGAGATCCAGTGCATCTGTGTTTGGAAGCAGCTCTCACCCCACAGAAGAGCTGCTTTGCAGTCTTCACTAGCAACAAATTATATGGATAGAAGTGAAATGTTTCACATGAAATTTCATCCACTCAGGAAAAATAAGAATGATTTGATTTGAGCAGATCTTTCTATGCAAACAGCCATCTCAAATTTGTACATGGAGAATGTGGTATATCCTGTTGATGAAAGCTTCTGTCTTGTAAAGAGGCCTTGTGGTAATCCACTGGGGTTATTGACAACTTTATCATCCCAGCTAGGATATATTTAGTTGGGATTTATATACTCATTATCACTTTGCATTGTTATTATTATACTGATTTTGCCCTTGTGGGCAGCATGTCCACTACCACATCCCTTAAAATTATTGGTGTAATCATAGTAGCTGTGATGCTGTTGTTGTCCTCTTGAGCCCTTGGTAACAGGGACACATGCACCAACCTTTCTGTTTTCTTCTGCTGTGAAGAGTGACCCCTGCATAGGCTTTCAAAGTGAATGCAAAGTTTCCTTCCCCCTGGATATTACAGTTCCACTCAGACATTCAGTTTCGTTAGCCAAGTAAGACTGTACTTTCCATTTATGGTTGCTGATTTATCTTCATAATTGTACTGCCTTCTCTGGCATTCTCATAAGTAAACTCTGGAAGATTAATTTAGATAATCTTATGATGAAGATGGGCAAAACCAGGTAGGAGGTTGAACTCCTGGAGTGACTCTTATTAACTGGGACCATGGGATAAAGAATTTGTTTGTTTTCCCATGAAAATGTTGATGAGAGCAGCTCGAAGCATGAAGCAGAACGTTGGAATTTGGAGGAAACAAGGGAAATCAGAGAAGTGATGCAGCAAACAAGATGCAGCTGAAAAAGAGAGGGCACATTTAGAGATAAACCATCTACAGAACCCCACATGAGGAGCAGCTGGCACGGTCACAGTGGTGGGGACTGACCTTGTGATTTTCCTGGAATGTGCTCTTCAATAGGGATGAAAGCAGCTGTTGGCTGCCCAGCTGGTCCCAGCCCTGTTGGGCTTTGGTGCCTGGCAGCTGGAGGCAGTGAGGCTGTGCTGGGGTCCCTGTCCCTCAGCAGGACCTGGGGTGCAGCTGCTCCCTGCCCACGGGGCCCCTCTCTCTTGGCTGCTCACATGCAGCATTTGGAACCTGCACGTGTCAGCACAGCCTCAGTTCCCAGTGCTGGTTTTATCAAAAGAACACCAGACTTTCCTCTCCTTTCTTGAGGTTTTGGGCATTTTTTACTTGAAATGTGCTGTAGAAACAACCAAGCAGGCTTTGAACTGCTCACCTCAAGACTCACAGCACCAACACGTTGCTCAGGCAGCGAAAGCCTGAAAGGGGATTGTCACGGTTTGATGCTGGTACAATGTGAGTGCCTCCATGAAAATAACTTCTCCCTGGTGTCTTCAGTGAGATGGGACCAGGAATAGAGCAAAACAGGCTCTCACTTAGAAATAAAGAAGAGAAAACTTTATTAACTTACAACTATATGTAAAAAGAAGCACACAGAAAGAATGAAAACCTTCCAAAAACATTTCCTCCTCCCCCCCACCAAAAAATTCACTTCCTCTCAAACCACAACACTGATGAACAGACTTGGCAGGGCTGGGGTCTCTCTCCCTTGGCTCCTAACTTGGCTCAAGCATAGAGGAGATGCATGGAATACATTATTAACTGGCCACATTGAACACTTGCTAGCCTTTATATGGAAATAATAATTATAGATGTATGTAACTCCAGAGTTGAAAAGGAATCCTGAGTGACTGAAAGTTCTGTCACTTTAAATATCCACATGACACTTAGAACTCTTACACACCTCTGACAACTCAAACATTATTTTGATCCAGATTAATTACAGAAAGTAAATTTTTATCTCCAGTTTAACATTACAAACAGTATTAATAATAATCCCAGGGAAATCTCCCTCCTGCTGTTTTAAAAACAAAAATACATTGCTGTTATGCATGTCACTAACACCATACCACTA